TTATAAATTATATATATATAACTGTACAATAAACTACAGATTTCCAAAACATAACTTATTTAAATCTTCTTCAAAGTGTACTAAATTTACAGCCTTATGGACATAAAACTGGCTTTTAAAATACTTTTCGGTAATGGAGGAGGTTTTTAATACTTAGAATTCAAAACCTGTTTTTTTTTTTCATTTTTCAACAACCATCAAACGTCCTTCCTTAATGTCATACAAAGCAACTGAAACTATATTTATGTGTATAAGTGTTGTGTATACAGTACATATGTGCATGCAGAGTGCTATTTGATCTCATATTTAAAGTAAAAGAAAAAACATGCAGCTTCTCACTAATTTATTACAAATTATTATTTTCATAGTATGCGTGAATATTTTAAAATACTTAGCTTCTCATATTCCTAACACATCTATACTGTGTCAGATTATCAGAAAGTGATTCAAACAGTTTCATCCCATTTATCAATAAGCACTGTGCAGAGACTTGGGAGAAAAAAATAATACAATAATACAATTAGGCCTGAACTACAATGAATTTCAAGGGTTTTTTTATAACGACAACTTCCACAGCAGGACATATGTTCATTGACAAACACCCAAATTATGTGTTTCTGGTTCAAAGTGGGGATAATACACATGAATCAGTACCTTTCCTCATGTTTACAGCAAAAAAATCTGAGCTAGGAAGCCGGTCTTCTTTGTAGCATTAGGTATCGCAAAGAACTTAATGCCAGCTATCCTGCAACTGGGAATATGTTTAACAAATAAAGAACACCAACTTTAAATTACCCTTTGATCATTATCTATAAACGAGCAACCTGAACCTCAATTTTATTGTAATTATTCACTTTCAGTTTTGTTACTTATTGAAAAAAGCAGAGATGTATTTTCTTAATAAAACTTATATTACAGCCTCCTAGTAGCAAATGTACTGTAGCAAAATTAGAAATAAGAACTAAAGCTCTACACTGTATTAAAATTCTACATAAATTACTTAGTTTCAGGTTTTAGCATTTTTTTTGTATAAGAATCTACCAATATTTTCCGTGAACTCTTTCAGTCTGCTAGGCTTGGAATAGTTCATATACTGTGCCTTATAGATGTATATCAATATGCATATATTTACATACATTAACATTTTCATACTATTGGAGTTTACTATTACTAACCTTGTATACTGTAGTTATAGGCTTCCCCTATCAGGTATTACTGCTGAAATTTAAGGAAAAAATAAAAAGGACAGCACTGAAGAAACAGCTCAACAATTCCATCATGCTTATATCATAAATTATAACTTTATCAGTTCAAATCCAAATCCAAAGCATTTAAGAAACCATTAATATCTTCACCACCCCAAGGTCATAGGGTGAACTAGAAATCAAGTAAAGTTTTACATATCACAGAGCCCTCTTTACAAAGAAGTTTAAAAAAAACACTGCTTCTAGTACAGTAAATGCGACCAGATTCAGCAACCTGACTAAAGATCTGTGTGTAAGAAAAGCATAACATACACAAGCATACAACGCTGAAGAAAAACATACCAGAATAACCTTTCCAACAATGAATTAAAAAACAAAACTATAGACAAACTCCAGCCGATAGACTATAAAAACTTTCCTGAAATTGAAAAACACTGTATGTACATACAGGGGATAGACAAAATAACAGAAACACCACATGAAAAAAGGAGTTAAACTTAAGAGTAACTAAATCACAATTACCAATGCAGCTGCATAGGTGAGTTATATTAGGTTGATTGCCAATCAGCAGTATTTGTCAGCTATAAAAGAGGTCTGACAACAAGTACTTTGATATGTGAGATTTCAAAGCAACACAAGGCAACTAACAGAGGCCAAAGAGGCCAAATAGTCGATGGCTGAATTGCAGGTGGATCGGTCACAAAAACTGACAAAATTATTTAATGTGTCAAGAGGACAGCCTCAAAAATAATGACAGCATATGACAAACTGCATCGGCAAAGAGGAACAGTGGTTGCAGGTCGAAGCTCACAGACAGGGATAGATGGACACTTCACAGGATAGTTGCTAAATGTCACAAATGTAAAGCCTCAAACATTACCACAGAATCGAATCAGCACCTCTGTGACCCGGTCGTAACAAAAACTATACTTCAAAAGCTGGAATTTATGGCAGGGCTGCCAATCGGAAAGTGCTTGAATCCAAGGCCAAAGCACAAAGACACATAACCAAGTGTAAGGAGCACAAAACCTGGACCCCTGAGCAATGGAAAAAAGTAATAAGGTCTGACGAGTCATCTTTCACCCTACTTCCTACATATGGGTGGGTTTACGTTTGGAGAAAGCCAAAGGATGCCTTCAACCCACAATGTCTGTTGCCAACTATTAAACATGGTAGGGGATCTGTAATGGTATGGGCAGCCATCTCGTGGGAGTCCATTAGGTTCGATGACTGCTCTGTATGGTCGTATAACGATTATGAAGCCGTTTTACAGGACCAGGTGCACCCTATGGAGCAAACACTGTTCCCTCATGATGTTCCCATATTCTAGGATCATAATGCCCCCATACACACTGCTAAACAAATTCAAGAGTGGTTTCATGAACACCAGGATGAATTCATACACCTTCCATAGCCTCCTCAATCACCAGATCTAAACATCATTGAACATTTATGGGACGTGCTGGAGCATAGAATGCAAAGTAGATTTCCACCTCCTTCATCCCTCAAAGAACTGGAGGCTTTTCTTTTTGAAGAATGGTGCGCTATCCTACTACACACAGTTCAGGACTCGTATGACAGCATTCCAAGGAGAATTGAAGCTGTTCTGAAGGCAAAGGGTGGCCCCACTCCTTATTAGGTCCTTGACATCAATATTTGGATAAACCCTATCCCACAGGTGCAATAGAAGAATGTACACAATTATCACAAAACACACAGTTCTCTAGAAAGGGCAAACCAACAGAATACTGAAAGAGTATGTGATTAAAGACAACGTCAGCATTGGCAAACACCAGAAAATCTGCAGCACTAGTAACTGAACATTAGAACATTGAGGCACAATTATGGACAGAGAGATGAGCACAATGTCTTTAAGAATACAGAGAAATCAACCCCCAAAATTGAAAGGAGGTTTTTAGCATGACAATTGATTGTGTCTAGAATGCAGTTTTTTAGGAATGTCATGAAGAACACATGAAAAAAATCTCAACAACTCCCATCAATAAACACAGGTTTAACATACTGTACAATGGAAATATGCATATCTAAAATGACAGTGCATTCTTATATTCTCCTTCAGCAAACAGAAGGTGGATGAAAACTTACAAGCAGATTCTGAATGACAACATTAGGGACCAGTCCTTGTACTGTATACAACAAGATCCCTTGCTAACCAAACATTAGGCGGCAAACCTTTTGTTTAGGTCACGCAAAGAACGAGTACTTGCCTGTAACTAAAAAATCCTCTTAATTTGGTTATAGGCTGCATCTGTTCTTCATTGTTTGACAGATTTTATTTTCATGAAAAGAACATCATGATAAATATTGCTGCAATAACTATTTCAAATTTAGGTGAAAATCTCGGAGGTGCTAAACAGGCATGTAATTCCATTAATTTCTTTTAAGACATAAGCTCCAGACCTGGTGATGGTGTTAACTTTTAAAACACTTCTAAATGAATTTTAATTAACACAATTAGTGGATGCTTGAATACATATTAAAATGCTGATGTAACTGCTCTTTGCCATCTCTGATAAAAGCCTCAATTTGGATTGAACTCTCAGTCATGAGTTTAATTTAGAACAAAGTATACTTTTGTCTGATCGAAGGAAGAGAAAAGGCCTACATTTTGATCTGAGCTTTAGATTATATTCAAGTATGACACAATAAAAAAATGAATCAAACACTTAACTACTGCCAAAAAGCTCACATACTGAATCAATAGTGTATATCCATGCCAATTTTGCGATTGCAGAAATGTTATGTTGGCTTCCTTATCAGCTATAATTCCCACTGGGTCACAAAAAAGCAACTGGAAGTGTGTTGTTCAGGCCTATAATCAAGAAGCCACATCTCTGTTGGAGGAATTTCTTCTGGTAGCATAACTCAACAGCTGGTGTATAGCAGGGCTGTCAGTGTGTGTTAGGTCCAGGCTGGTCAATAACTATTCCCTTGTCTTGGATTATTTGCCTTCTATTGAAAAATGCAGACAAGTTACAGATGTTGATTCCAAATGACCAGTCTAAAGTAACTGCTCTACCTAGACTAGTTCCTTAGTAGACCATAATCTGGTGTCATGCAAGTAAGATGAACATTTTCAGATGGCTGATAATCAGTAGCATGAAGTAGCATGCATCACCCTCGAAAATCCTATAGTCCTCCCTAAAAAAGTTTTAGAGGATGCATGCTGCAGATGCTTCTACTAAAAACTCTTTGAAACCAATCAATGACAATATAAACAGACATTTCTGAATCCCCCCCGAAGCCAGTCCTGCAACAATTTGGATGTCAACTTATTTTATTCTAATTGGAAACAAACTAAACACAGACAGCACACAAGAAATGTTTTGGAAGATAAACTTTAAATATGGCATGATTATTTGTCACATAATCCATTCACACACATTTTGGTCCAGGATGAAGCAGGATCCTGTTAGACCCAGATCCTTCAGCACAAGCATGGAGTTTCACACTAGTGGTAGCCAAACCAAAAGTGTGAAAGCCCCTCAGCATACCCAAAGCTAACATTGGTGTAACTCAGTTTGACATTACTGGTTAACCAGAGTGGAATCCAAGGCCTTCTCATTTCCTAACTTTGTACTTTTTCTCATTCAGAACTTTCAAAAGCAGGGTGTGGCTTCTTTGCACTGCAAAAACACCTCATGGTCACGCTGGACCAGCTCAGACTGCATATCTTCATGACACTCAATGTTGATGGATTATTTCAATTCATAAACTTTGAAATGCAGGGGCTTAATATAGCTATAAGAGTAGAAGTAAAAAAAAAGTATTTACCTGGATTTTGATTGGCCATGAGAAATTGCTGACGTACACATAAAAGGTGATGTTTGGATTGCTGCGGAAGCTGAATTTTTCACAAGAGAAGCTGTCTCTGTAGTCCTTTATGTTTGACTTCGAGACTATTGGGACTTCTTCTCCTGATATTGTCCCAGCTACAAAAACAGTGATAGATTTCATCGTTACTAAGACAGGCTGCTATTTTTAAATCAGTGGTGCAGAAGGATGTAAATAATAGAACATAAGGAGGTTCTGAAGTTAACACAGATTCCATCTCAAAGTATATGTGAGTGGCAGGCTGTTGGAAGAGAAGAAAGGATTGCACAGCTAACATGGACAACGTCAAGCCTAGCAGAGGAGTTGTGGGCTTTTGAATACTGCCTGAGTATTCCAACAGCAAAACTAGATGGAAATGAATCCCTTTTCACAGAATAAAAAAGAGCTTTCTATGAAATGGACATGTTTTTATTACTGTTCTGAATTTCATTGACCATGGGAATTAACAACAGAAGTATGTTTGTTTTTTTGTTTTTCATACACAGCTTGGTTCTGTTTTAAGTGCTGCTGCTGCTTTAAAGCTTCTGGAGTAAATTAAGTCCAAGCAATCTTTCTAACCCTAACAATATGAAAGATAGCAATATGTGTTTACTATCCACTAGTGACTTTGCATTTAATTTAGAACACTCACATTTTCATTATTGAAATCACATGAGGTGAATTACTTTGTTTTTCACATATCCTATTTGCTACAACATAGCATAATGGTATATTTTATTAAGAAAATGAGATCTTTTATCTAAAAGAAATAGCTCTTATTTTAGGGTGATTTGTCATTTTACAATGTTGTACGGTTTCAAATATTTTGAAGGGAAAATCATTTCTAATTCAAAAATGGAAGAAAAAATGGAGTGCACAGACTTCAGAAACCTGTGTAAGAAAAGATTACCTTGCCCTATTTATCAGAACAAGAAGAAACATTTTAATGTTACCAGGCATCTCAAAAAATGTAATTCCGAATACCATCTCTGAAACAAAGACATTAAAATCTCAGCCTCAACAGCTGCCTCACATGTTAATTTATCTTAATTGAAATCACAACTTTTCAGAATTTAGTCCTGGAATTCAAAATTGAAGCTCATGCTTTTATTATGAGTGATATTCTTAAGGGGGGACATTTAAAGAAACAGGAAAAAATTTAAATATTAATGAAGCTATTGTATAATTTTGCTAAATTAATGACTTGGTTCTTTGAGGTGACACAAAACAGTTTTAATTACTCAAAAACCATAACAAAAGAAAACATATCACAAAAAGGTTAAGATTAAACAGAGTTTCAGAATGATGTTATCAGTTAAAAACAATATAAGGAATGAAAATCCATTAAAGTGATGTCCATTTAAGTTGCTAGAGTTTTAATATGCAGCATGGGTCTCATGATAAAAAAAGCATTTCTCTCACACATTTGTACTCGACCATGATTAGGGAGATTGAAGGCTTGTCCAAACGAATAAACTAGCTGAATAAGTTTAGGTGTGAACTTATATTTTGTGCACAGAATAGACCAATCTAAGACAAAAGGGAAGCTTCATGGAGAAACAAATAATTGCTAGCACAAAGCAACAATGTATTATTTTGTGCTCCTGTTCTGTGCAATGATTAATCTTTACCGATCTTGCCACTGCAACAATAAGCACTAAGGTATGGATGCTCAGGATAGAAATGTGTAATCCTAACGGTAAAATACAATAAGCTTGTTTTTTACTTTTATACATACAGTATCAACCATTGTGTTCTGAAAAGTAGTTTTAATTTGTTGTTTAGAGAAAAGATATTAAATTTTGCACTGATGGTCACAAATAACTAAAGTGCACAAAACAACAGATTCTGACTGCTGCTGAGTGGTTCACCAGCTCCCATTGTCATGAGTGTCCTGAGGAGCATAAGGAAGACTTCCATCACCTTGATTTTGCCACGATATTCCTCTGATCTCCACCTTGCAGAAAATCGATGGAGGCGGTAAAAGTTAATGTGCAAGGAGAGGACAGAAGGATCTTACCTGTTGAACCAACAGACCATGTGATGTTCAGGTTGAAGTTATTTGATGCATTAATTGACATGTCAAGGTTTTTGTTGGTCTATGAATGAAAAAAAAATATCAATGAATAAGCATTTTAAATTCATAATTTAAGAATATATGAAATATTATTCTAAATAAGATTATTTCAAACAAGCAAAAATTTTTCCACATGACTAATTCGATTCACTCACAGTATATTCTTCAGTGACTCAACACCTGTTCTTGATTTATCTTTATTTGTTTTTGCATTCCTTGAGTAGCACAACTTGCACTTGAATGTATTGCTTTCCATTATCAATTACTTAACTTTTTTTGTGTATGTGGACTGCACCCCAACAAAAAAGCTTTGAATGGTGCCAATCTCCGCAAACAGCTAAATGTGTAAAATGTTGGAGGAAAACATGATCTAATTAACCAGTCCTATTTAAAACATGACTTCCCATTGTGGTCTTGTGCATCTATTGGAAAACCATAGAATGACAGAGATAATTTAGTTTAGCAGATCATTTAGTTCTCTCTTTCAAAATGCTCCAATCATCCCACACAGCAGTATATCGAAATATATTGAATAATGAAACACTGCTAGAAATTAATGAGAAATACATAGTTCACTATGTTGGTCATAGAGTGTTATGACCATAATTATTGTACTGATTTTTATAATTAGTCTTACTAACATTTAATGATCTTCCCATTATATTATTTTGTTGATTGCATGAAGTAGATAACAAAAGAGGACAAGCTCCTTGTAATTAAGATCAGCAGAACTTATTAAGTTCATAAAATATGAAATATTCATAACAGACTGCAATGGTTTGTGCAATTATTTCATAGTTAAAAGAAAATCTTTTAATTTAGGTGCAACTTTTCTTATGGATGTGTATTCCATGAAGATGTATTGTATGAACAGTATGTAAACTGGCAAAAGTTCAAAGCTGTCAAATTCCACAGTCCTTGCAATATTCCAAGCCTCAACGGCCAACAGACGCTTCTTTCAGCTTTTGATAAAGCATATTATTCCAAAAAGCATTTACTCCTGAGTTCATTAATCTTGAATTAAACAGGTTTTCGGTGAAGGTGACGAGTGTTGTCTCCTTCGTAACAAGCATCGCTTCTTTACATTTCTCTGGAGTGGTGGCTTCTGTACCTGTTCGGGAGTGGCCATGAAGTTGATAGCAGTGTAGTGGTGATCATCCTCTTGAAGAAGACTGAAGGTGAACTGATAATCTATCAGCAGGTTATCTGTGAAATTAAAGGAAATATGGCACAAATGTGAATTTACAGGTCAATTCAACAGAAACAAAAAATAACTAAAAAAGTTCCAACATTAGGAGTATCTACACTGTCGTTTCTGTTCCCGTACATTTGATCAGGATGAGCATTCTTTCAATGACACTACCTTAGCATTCAGTCATGCTCGGGTTTTGGCTTGTGTTTATTCAGTAGTACAGAATTCCGACACCCATGTACTGTAGTTAAAGTATATACTGTGTTACTCAAAGAAGACGAAGCACAAACTAAGTTTAGAGACAATAGTTATTTGTTTATAGTTAACTAAGGTAATATGCCTTACTGCACTCCCATCACAGGACCACAATGCAATTGGTACATAATCCACTGGTTAATTCGAAAAGTGTTTACACTGTCACAGGACGCACATCATTTAGTTGTGATCAGCCTTTTAACATGAGAGTTAATTTAATGTTTAAGCTGCCATTTCTGATCATGATCAAATGCTATAGATGCATTTAACTAGAAACAGAAAGTGGCATTATAACTGCACCTGCTATGCTTTGAAATAAACATAGCATATTCAAAATTCTATAAACACTTTGGTTATCAGTAGGCAGAGAAGGTGGCACAGTGGTTAGCATTGCTGCCTTGCAGTGCTAGGGACCTGGGTTCAATTCTGGAATTGGATTGCCACCTGTGTGAAATTTGTATGTTCTCTGCGTGTTTGTGGGGGTTTCCTCCCACCCTCTAAAAACACAGATATGTTAACTGGCGTCTGGCAAATTTGGCCCTGGTATGAGTGTGCATGTGTTTGTGCGTGCTTGTGCCTGTGTGTGCCCTGCGATGGACTGGCATCCCATCCAGGGTTTATCCATTGTTTGCTCCCTTGCAACTGTGTACTGGATAAAGCGGTTAGAAAATGAATGAATGATTACCAGTATACTGCTTTGGACTTTTGTGGTTGATAGCTCATGACACAGATCACAGAAGACAGGAGAAAACAAGTAGAATCAATCAGCACATTTTTAAAACTTTGTTAACAATACTAATGTGCAGCTGATGCTTAGCAACAGAGCTGCTAAGATTAATGAAAAACAAAGTTTTCCTCAGTAAAAGCTTCTTGTTACATTTCCTACTGCTTTACCCTCAGGAAATAAAATCAATGTGCTTCTTCTAGTACTAAACCTCCCTATTTAACAGTGTAACATGAAAGAAACAGAAATGACCCTACTGACTCTGCCAAAGTACATTACTTACATAAATAATCAAATGTAACATATTTCCCTGTGTTTTGTGAAAATACTTATTATGTTCTATAACTGCCAGTGGACAATGGAGCCCAGCAGGTCTACAGAAGCAATATTCCTTATTATGTTCTACTGACAACCAAACCACCTTTCATTATAGTAACCTATAAAAATATCATAGTAATTTACAGTATATTATTGTTGTAGACTTTATCAAGTAAGTATTTTTAATGTGAGAAGTAAAAGAAGCCTCATTCTTCCCAGAAGCACTGCAGCAAAGACATGCTCCAATCAGTCTGAAAAATGGACTTTATTGATTGATGATTAATTCTGGAGTAATGAACACATCTAATGGTACACAAACAAAATGCCAGCAATTGATTAATCAGTTACCAGTTTACAGAAATATTTTAGAATTACCACCCTATATTCAAGATGGGGGTAGAATTAGATTTTTTTTTATTTTGGCTGCAATAGGTTTAAAAACACGTTTTTGAGCAGTCTGAAAGATGGTCCCATGGTCATGTGGTTACACAGCTTACGCAGTTATCCCATGTGCTGCCCCATCAACACCTGACACATCCACAATTAACTAAAACACAAGTCTCAATAATGTATGGCACAAGAACCACGGTGATGCTTCTCCACTGACAAAAGAGATGCCAGAACAGCATAAATCTAAAGATAATATTATGCAATATGCAGTATCATTACCAAGGGGACATACAAATTAAACTCATAAAGTTGTCCCTCATTTCTGTAAAAATCTTAATCTATGTGATCTTCCACTGTAAAACAAGAAACAGAACTGGAAAACCTAATCAGAAAACATGTCTCTTTAACAATACTATGGCGGTTATTACCCATTCACATGTGTTAAGTTTGCACCACAATCACTGAGGTGCTTCAGAACAGTAATTGGGTCTATGAGGCTTCTTAATTGTTATCATTTAGCTATTACTGTAAAGAAATGGCAAAGCTAACAACAGCTTCATACTCTATCAAAGCACAAGCCTGTGGGAATACCTATATTGATCTAGTCTCTTCAAACAATCAAGAAAAGGCAAGGAAAAGAGTGCGATGACAGAACCTTTACAAAAGATTATTTGGTATGAATTATATTCCGGAACCATACAAGCCAAGTCCAAGGCACAGGTTTAATATTTCAAGAAAGCACACAGTGAAACAATGAGAGTTTAAAAGTAGCAGTAATGGAGACTATCAGTAAAAATGGATTACAACATTTTAAAGATAGTGCTTTAAGAACATAGTAATTACTTGAGAAAGCAAATGAAAGTCGAGAACTCAATATGCCAAACAGGTTAACAAACCACTAAGAGGTTAATAGCCATTAATAAAAAGAAAAAAGAAATTGCCATCCTGTATAAGTAAAAGAATGTAACTAACAACATAAAGAAAAAAGGAATGACAGAAAAGCCAAGAGAAATACTGCAATGGTAATTAAAAAATGAAGTCAAAGGATTACAACAGGAAAAGAACAGTAAAGGACAAAAGAAGGTGTCTCAGTAATGACAAAACTAAGAAGATGAACGTGAAAAGGGCAATGCATTACATGAATATTTCAATCATTCAGGTGTCTTGCCAGCAGCTATATCAACCTAAAACTCACAACTGGCAAGCCACTGGCCAGTACCTGCATGGGAGACCTCCTTGGGAAGCTAAGGTTGCAGCTGGAAGAGGTGTTAAAAGGAACCGGTAATAATGATACACAAACATGGTACAGTATATGCATCGGAAGCATACATGCAAATAAGCATTCCATTGCACTCATGAATATGACAAACTGAACTGAACATTTTTTTTCTATTCTCATTTTATATACTGTATATCTTTCTTTCTTCTGCCTGAAATACTGATTTTTTAAGAAGAAGAAGTATACATAAAAATGGGAAACATCAAGTTTAAAGAAAAAGACTGTAAAAGGTGTTTGTCATCAGATCATTTAAATGTACAGTACCAGGCAATGTGGGGACGCAACACAAAAGCTAACAAATATAACAATATAAAGTTTACAATAAAGAATTGATACTGAGGGTTTACCTGTTACAATGTATACAAAGTACAGAACACTCAAGTAAGAACATTTATAATATTGTGAAAATATAATTATAAAGAATTTTAATCTAAAAGGATTGTCATGATCTGGAATCAGCATAAAAAATGCCCTACTTTGAAAGGCTAAAATAACACACATTTTCATTTTGAACAAAACTACCAAAGCACCTCATAAATGTGCTAAAAATGTGAAAAACCCATTCAACTTTCACAACTATTACTTGCCATCCAAACAGAAATTAACTATTTAGCTACAGTAACTATATTATTGAATTTGAATTGCCTAAATTCTGCAAATACCAGGTTTGTAATGACATACATTAATTGTTTGCACTTTTTGTGTACGTATAATGTCCCTAAAACGCATATTGGTCCCAGTCTGCAATTTATTCAGTATATATTAGATAGTAACAAAATTATCTGACAAAAACCTACCAGGCAAAAAAGATTTTATTAATTTCTTAAAAAACACATTTAACCATTACCAAACACTTCTAATGCAAGTGATGCAATGTTTTAAAAAAAAGACCAAATAAGATCAAAGTTACAACCTCTGGCTTGATTTAAGGCACATCTCTGAAGTATTAAATTGTTTGGGTTGTTCATACTCTAAGCTCTGAGGTGGTGCAAATATGTTTTCAAACTTAAGGACAATTGCACATTCAACAAGGTAATTGAGCATCAAAAAGAGTAACTGAGACTGAATATTTTTTATCTGAAATTAAATTATTTTAGATTTCAGGTTTATATTATACATACATCTACAAACAAGTAGAATTGGCACCTGAATCACTTTTTATATTAACATACAGTATCAGTATTTGGGCCCCCTCTTGTGTCCACAGTTGTGTACCATATTTTTTTGAAAATATTTAAAGGAAACAACATACAAAAACAAAGGAAATCAAAAACTGAGTAGCTTTCAGATCATAATGGATATTAAGTATATCAAATAACTTCTGCAACGTAAAGATGAACTACTGTAAGTGCTAAACCAACTGGCGGCAACATCTACTGTACGAAACTGCATTAGCATTAAGAATATCTACAATGAACAAATGAATAATGCAATGCTATATGAACTAAAAAGTCAAAAACTTGATTTCAAATGCAGGGCAGTGAAATATATACTATAACAAACCTGCAGAGAAAAGTATATCATAAACAAATGTGAGCTGTAGTGAACCTCTCCCAATATTCCAGGTAACTTGAAAGCCTTGAAAGCCTAGAAAGTAGCTCCAGATCTAAGATGGGAATCCGGGCTTGTTGCTTGGCAACCCTATGGAACCTTCCAGAATTTAATACATCTCTCACCTAATCTTTCCTTTCATCCAACTTTGTATGACATTTCTGGAACCTTAGAATCCTAAACACAGCCAAGAAAGATTAAATTTAATTTACATAATCAAACATAAATCCAACATGCCAACGGCTATATTTTCACACAACAATAGTGTTGTGATTACCAAATGTAACACACAAAATACATTTTCAATGGATATTATTTTTCAGTATGTATGGATAGACCATTCAGTAAAGCTTTTAAATTATTTTCTCATTTTAAAAAGAAGTTAAAATGTTCGTAAGACATTTTTATATAGAAATATATTTATCCTACAGCAAGTTTTAAGATCAGAAATAAAGTAAACTAGAACATTCAGTACACTACAATACTTGGCAATCCTA